CTGCTTGTACTGTAACAACACAAGTACTTGGGTTACAAATGTTCCCAAACATGCCATATATGGAAGAGCGAATCCTCTTTCATATCTTCCAGCGTTGTGTAATAACCTTTACATTATTGCTTTACATTACTGTTTTTTTTAACAGATTTGATGAACTGAACATAAAGAGGGAAAATCGATGTGTCACCTTTTCCTGATACTGTCGTCTGGAGGAGTCCAGGGATTGGATGAGAGCGGTGGCGTGGCCAATGAACATGGCGTAGCAGGTGGCGCCCACGATCATACTGAGCATAGTGAGCCACACATCTGTCATCCCCTCTGGAGCCTGTGCACCATACCCGATGCACAACATGTGGCTCATGGCTTTGAAAAGAGCATAGGAGTACTGCACGCCCCATGTGTCATTCTGTGTGTGGGAGAAAAACAGAGAGAGAGAGAGAAAGAGAGAGACCAAAATAGAGGGGAATGTAGGGCGGTGGGGGGGCAGACAGAAGAAGTAGAAGAAGTTTCAAGTGTTAATCAGCAGGACTGCTGTAATATTGAACTGGATCTATTTTGGTCGGTTCTACAGGACGTTTTCCTGTGGCAGACGCTCAGCCACAGCACTTCACTACAGAGAACTGAGACGTGCAACAACAGAGCAATTTGTCACTGCAAACCCCACAACACGGGGAGGGGTAATGGCCACAGTCAATAACACTTGGACCACACAGTTTAGAGCAAAGTGGTCCACTTTCCTAACGATCTTCATTTACGACACCTCAAGGTTTTTAAAAAGGGTCTTTGAAAGTGACAGAAAACTGTTTTAAAAACTCGAAAGATATTTCTCTTGGATCGTCTCCAATGGTGATTTACCGTTTATTTTCATCTAAATAAAACAGAGAGCTATGTTTTAGTAAAGACCCAAAAACTAGAGTTTAAAACTGTGTATACTCTGTACATCACAGGTACCACAAATATAACTGCACCGTTTTTCTTGTGTAGTGAAGTAGTACTTTTAAATCTAAGAGGAAGTTACTTTGAGTTCTCATCTCGGATTTTATTTTACAGCCATCATTGAACGCTGCATTTGTAATTTTCTTTTTCTTTGTCCAATGAGAATTAACGAAATATGACATTTTTTAAAAATAAAGTACAGTGAACTTTTACATCAATCAATGTGATTCTGTTGCCATGGCTTCACAGTAGCCCCATTTACAAGAAGGGGGGGGGGGCGCTGCAGGCCTTCTTGTTAAAAGAGCGTCACAAAAACTGACACTGGAACAATGATCTGGAACTTTGAGAAGAATTAGCAGAATTTAGTAGAATAAAAAATAATAAGTGGCCCAAACGTCAGCTGTGACTCACTGAAGGATGGATTCAGTCATGTGACCAGGAGTCTTGTGATTGACAGTGAAAGAAGATAAAGGTTTTAAATGAAACTCTTCTTCTACAGTCCACTGAAGAACTAGGGTTCAGTTCAGGTCTGGGTTCAGTTCAGTTTTTTTTCCATTGTCAACAGTGAGGATGACTTCAGACTCTGACACACAGGCAGCTGTCACATGAAATCAAATGAATGATTAAAGCTGCAAATCCCCCCAAAAAAAAAAAAAAAAAACAGTTTTCACGTCAATCATCACGTTTACTGCGGTGCCTGTTTGGTTGTAGGTTGCGTGCGTTGGTCCAATTACAGATAATAATGGACCAGGGGCTGAGGGGACTTTCTCTGGGGAGAATCCCAGCATCCGTCTGCTTAGCAACAATCACCGGGGCAACCGTGGAGACATGAGTCAGCTGTTTGAACAGCAGCTGTGGGTCCCTGCGCAGTCTGTGGCGTCCACTCGGTCCCATGGCCTCGGAGTGTTAATCTCAGATGAGGATTTTAATTGGGACATTTTTTTTTTTTTCATTCCGGTGATGATGGTGAGAGTCGGTCATAGTTCGATCAGGACATGTCGCTGCATGAGCCAATTAACACAGATCAGGACCCAACAACATCAAATCTGACAAACAGCTTCAGTGCACACACACACACACACACACACATACACAGAGTTTTTAGAAGATTTCTCACAGGCTCTGCTTTCCTGTCAGACCAATATTTCTTTGCTGAGATCCTGATCTGAATGGTTTTGTTTTTTTGTTTTTTTTTCCAGCTCAGACAAGAAACATTTGCCTTCCCTTTGTTCCTGGGACAATAACCTCTTCCACTGAAATGTTAAAAATAACAATGTCACACAGGCCGTCGGGTGTTAACTCACCACCATCAGGTTCTTGGAAACCCAGCAGTCAGGAGGGAAGTCCTGCAGCATGGGGACCAGGAACTGCAGACAACCATCCCAGTGGCACAGCAGGAGCATCATACCGATCAGGTTCACAATCCGGACCATGGCGCTGGCGAGGTCATAAGTCATGTGAAATATCTGAAGAGGAGGAGGAGTAGGAGGACGGATGATGATGATGATGATAGTATTTCAAAAAGAGCATAAAAAGTGTCAACTGTTAATCAGTGCAGTATTCAATGGAGGAGTTGTTGTTTCCACGCAGAAAACTTAGACGAGTTGATGAGTCATTCTTCTCAGACTGAAAGAGTTGAATAAAACAAATCTCTGCCCGAAGAAGGATGAACGCAGGGACGGCACATCATCAGGACGTATTGTTTTGTTATGAAATACAATGGATTTTCACATGAAGTGTGTTCAGTGATTTAATAAAAATAGTAAATAAAAAAAGAACTTGTTATTCACATGAATTAATGTATGAAGACAAATCAGATTATGATCATGAATAATCGTGATTAATTATAATTATATCGTGATTGCTACTTTTAACCATTAATCATGATTAATCACAATTAATTGACACAGTTGTGATTAATCTTTTTACTTGTTATCATTTAAAAATGAAAATCCAGCACAGTCCGGTTTACACTTATTAAAATTGACGTGATTCATTTAGGCTCAGAAAACTTTGTCCATGTGGAAAAATTTAGAGAGTAATCAGAGGCAGGTGGAGGGAAACAACGAAAAATAAGCAAAAAAATAAAAAATAAAAGTAGTATATAATAAAAAGAAATGTATTATATTATTCAAAACAATGTTATTATACTATTTGCTCTGATTCTCACCTCCTCCCACTGGTGGATGTAGCGAATAAGTCTGGACAGACGGAGCAGCCGCAGCAAGCTGAGGATTTTGGTGAAGCGGACGATGCGCAGAGCCCTGGCCGTCCTGTAGACCTCCGAGTCCAGGCTGTCCACCATCAGGAAGATATAGTCCACCGGGATGGACGACACAAAGTCTACCAGGAACCAGCTCTTTAGGTAGTTGAGACGGATGGCCCTGAGTCAGACCAGAGACATTTCTCATTTGGCAGTCTGGCTGTGGAGAAGCGATGCCAGCACGTGGCATAAAATCTACCTCGTTAATATTCATCAGAATCCTAACTGGAATGTGAACGAAGCGTCGCCACTGGCTAAATGTCACCTTTAGCATCTCTCATGCACGGATGTGTGCGAACACCACCCCAAACCAAAGTTCAACTGGACTCACCTGGGGTCCAGCAGGATCTCGGTGTTGTCTTCCTTGATGATGCCGGTCCTGAAGTTCAGAACCAGGTCCACCATGAACAGAGTGTCGGAGACGACGTTGAAGATGATCCAGGACGGAGTGTTCTCCTCTCTGAAGAAGGTGATGCCCACAGGAAGGATGATCAGGTTCCCCACCATCAGCATCAGCATCAGCAGATCCCAGTAGAACCTAGACGGAGTGGATCAGCTCTGTGACTGGTCCTGGTGATGTCCAACAGATCTGTGCTATAGTTGCTGCCTCCAACTCCCAGGCCGTGGACCAAAAATGGCCCTCCAACCACCCACATGCGGCCCGCAACTACACACCAGTATATTGCAATCTGACCCCCTGCTGGTGGTTTTTGGTACTACAATGAGATGGTAGGGGCAACGGTGTTTAAAACACCTCAATTTCCAAAAATAATTCAAGGTATAAATTCAGCTCTTTTTTTTCTACTTTCAATGTGACATGTGGACTATAGTTGTATAGAGTGTGATGGTTATTTGTCTGTGTAAAATGAGGGATTTCAACCTTCAACTTTCATTTACTTCATTTCAGCTGTTCAGTCCCTCAGTGTTTATTCAACATTTCCTTAAATTCAGCTGTTCAGTCCCTCAGTGTTTATACCATGAAAAAAACACAATTTCAACAATCAACACGGCAAATGCCAGTTACTGCAGTACTTTCACAGCTAAGCAGTGAATACGCAGTACTTTGTACTTATACTGGTCAATCTCAACAAGTGGAATCATTGAGTGTAACTTCCTTTTCTTTTTTTCTTGTAAAATGACCATGTAAGTAACAATTCATTTTTGCAGTAAGAAGTACTAATCCCCCCCGACCCCCCGCCCGAAGAATACCTCCATCACTGCTGTAATGTATATAAATGTTTCACTTGGCCCGGTTTCATTTTTTGCAATTATTCCTGCTCCCTGGGGTTCATTCATTCATTTATCCTCGCTGCCATAAACCAGAGTCCACGGGATTGTATTACAAGACCGAGGCAGACAAAGAGAGAGACAGGAGGAAGATGATGATCAGTAACCTTGTGGGGGGGGGCTCATCAATCTGTATTCCTAATGCGCGGCGGCTGACGTACTCTCCACATTAAAGTACCGGGTCCATGTCACGTGACCAGGAGACGGAGAGTTACAGGAGGAACCATCCCATCACCGCTGATGTCATCTTTCCCATTCTCTGCTCCTAATCCCTTTATCCATCACCTGAACACAGTCTGGATGAATGGCACGCACACACACACATACACACACACACACATTTGTCTAAATAAAAACACTTGAAGTTCAACCCTGTGGTGGATCGCTCTCGTATGAGAATTCGGAAAACACAACCTTGTGATGTGAGACTATACTGATGAAGTATGAGTCATCGTTCTGTCTCTGTCTCTGTCTCTCTGTCTCACTCACACTCAAACACGTTTTCACCCATCTTTACAGATGTATCACTTCATAACCGCCTGCATTGAATACACTGAATGTTTACAGCCATGCGGTCAGAGGTTCGATCGTAGCTGCTGTGACGGAGATTTCTCCCTGTCCTTAAGAACTTTGTTAACTCTAATTTAATTAAATAATTCTGTGCATCACATCACACTACACTGGTCTGTCAACTGTGTCCAACTTCATGTCAACTGTCACTCGTCTGTCGCCAAAAAGACCAGAAAGACCACTGACTGTATTTACTACTCCACTGGTTGATTTTCAAAATAATAACCGAAGCTATTATTCACAGTTAGCACGCCTGCCTTTCACACAGAGAGTCCTGGGTTCAATTCCTAGAGGAACCAGATACTTGTCTGTTGCAGCAAATCTGCTGTTAACACAAGAATTACCCCAGTGTGGGATCAATAAAGTTAATTAAAAAAAAAAGAAAACAAAATCAGTAGCATGTAAGTTCACCTGCTACTGAATAATATCCTCAGTTTTCTCAGGTCAGTGCTTGGGCATTTGTTTACAGAATACATTGTTAAATAACAAGTAAATACTACACTTCACTACAGGCCTAGTCACAGAGGACAGACAGCAACTTTGGACAGATTTGTCCAGCACAATTTTTAGCAGAAGCTAAAAGACAAATCAGTTTCTACTACCAACGTTTGTCCAACTCTATGGTTTGACCATAAATAAATCAACCAAACCATTAAAGGATGCTGTGACCACAGATCAATCATGTGACCTGGGTGTGGCAGCTGATTAGAGCACAGCGTTAGCTTCACAAACACACTACGCTGACCAACAGGAGCGGACGTCACCGAGGAAGGACGTCGGCTCAGCGTGACAAGATTCGACTTCTGCTTCCTTTGTAGACTGACACAACACTGGATGGTGCCCTGTGGTTCTGCTATGTGTATTTGGATGTGTGTGTGTGATGTACACAGACACACGCGCACAGACGAACATTTAGGAATTGCAAATGCAATCAGGGCACCTCTCCACATCCTCATCAGAATTCCATTTCCAAGAGGAACAGGTGCTGCAGGAGAAGTGACCTGCAGCTACCTGCTCAGCTGTTGTCGAAGCTAACGCTAATTCTACTTTAATTGAGGCTAAGTGTCTCCGGAGGAGGCTGTGATTGGTTTCCCAGTTCACAGTTGGCCGGATGTCAGTTCTCAGCAAGTTTCCTCACGTCTACATCATCCTCATCCTCATCCTCATCCTGCCAATGTGACCAGCATCAGGCGACACTCCATTATATCACAAATAACAAATATTACTATATGTGTAATGCCACAGCCAACCACTGAGTCATCTGTTTGACCATGTGACCATGTGACCATGTGACCAGAGGTGCGTCTCTGTCATGTCTGAGGATGAGTCGTCTCTCTCGGATACTTTCCATTCTGTAATTATAGTTTTAGCTGTAAATGCAGTAGCAGTAAATACCCTGTCTTTACCAGGTAAAAGGCATGATCATTATCTGAAGCAGACAAGGCAGAGAGAGCCAGAGAGAGAGAGACAGGGGGAGAGAGAGAGAGTGACGTAAACAAAGTCAAAGTCGGCAAGAACATATTTATACATCTGTTTTTTTTTCCTTTTACTCTTTGGCTAACGCGTCACAGAGCACCTGCTCGGACGTCACTCCAGACTATTGGTACTTAACTGAAAAAGTTAGATGTCTGAATTATGCATAATGCACACTCTGCTTGCATAATGTACGACATGCATTATTAATCAAAATCCAACTGATTTCCTTGACAGGCTAATTGGAACTATTCAAGTCTTTGCTTATCTTGCATGAGTATTAATATGTGGGA